GACCCGGAGCAGCCCCGACCCCGGCAGGACTGACCCCCTGACCCGGAACAGCCCCGACCCCGGCCCGACCGATGTCCGACCCCGAGCGCGCGGGGCCCACCTTCCGCGTGCAGTGCTCACACTTCATCTGGAGCGGGACAGGCCGGGGGCCAAAATTCGGCCTCAGAGGAGCACCGGGAGACTCAGTCACAGATGCCCGGCGCTCGCCGCCCTTTGTTGAAGTCACCCCCGGCGCGGCCCCACCCCCGGAGGCTCCGATCGACCAATGAGAACGCCGGGAAGGGGCGAGCCACAACTCTAAGCCAATACGAGCGCAGAGGGGGCGGTGCGGCTCCGCCCACATATCACCGCCTCGGCCAATGACAACCCCGGGAAGGGGCGGGCCGGGCCGTGGAGCCAATCGGAGCGCGGGGGCGGAGAGCGGCGGTCGCCCGGGAGGCCCCGCGGGTCATCTCGCCTTTTTCCGCGGCTCGCAGGTCGGGGGCGGCCCGGAGCGGACAAGCAGACCTTCTCCAGGAGGCGGACAGGCAGACCCTCTGTAGGAGTTATCCTGGGGCGCCTGGTCCGTCAGTTGGACCTGGAGACAGGCTTCGCCAGGCCACCGCCATTGCCGCCCGGAGGCGCGTCACGTAGGCCGGCCAGGCGGCAGTGCGCACGCGCGGGTGCGCACCACGTGGCGCTTGGGGAGCGCTGGAAGGTGGGTGTGAAGTCGAGTTCGCCGGCCGTTCCAGCACGTGTCTGGACGGTCCGGCGCCGGCTTTGCAGGGAATGAGCAGATGTTGTTTCTGGGGGAGATGACCCCGCCTGCGGGGCTCAGACGAAGCTGTTTAACTCATGGTCGTGAAAGCTGACGTCCTACGACATCCGTGTTGTCCGCTCTTTGCAGGATGGTCGGAGCGGGAAGCCTGCCGGGGGCAGTCCGGGGGGCCCCGAGTGAGTCCGGTGGTCTCCCGCCGTCGCACCGGCACGCTGGGCTTCTTCGGGGGCAGCGGGGAGCTGCCGTCCCGACCGAGCTGGCTGGCCCGCCGGGAGCAGCCCACGTCCGCGGAGGACACGAGGCCGCTGGGAGGGGCAGCTTTAGACTGGACGGTGGCTTCGCCAGCCCCGAGCTGTGACTGCGGCTGGGGGACCGGCGTCCTCCCGCTGCGACGGTGCGGCAGTGGCTACTGCGAGGTTCCTGCTGGTTCGCAGCTGAGCACAGTGTTGGGGGGGCAGCTTCCCCTGCCCGCCCCAACCCCACGCAAAGGACGTTGTCTTGATTCCCTTTTAATTTATGGAGGTTCCTACAGCTTCTTGCAGATCCAACAGGTAAACCCGCGGGGTCTGAATCGGCCGCCAGCCCAACCCCTGCGTTACTCAAGTCTGTGTCGGCGCCATTCCCTCCATTTTCAGCGGGAATAAGAGGGTAATTTTAGGTTGTCATTTGTGTGTATTTCTTCTTACTGTTTTAAAAACATTTTCAGGATACCATTACCGCATGTGAAAACAAGTTACAACTACGTAATTTCATCAAATATGTATTTAGTGTCCAGGTTTCCCTAATCTCTCCTTAAAAAAAAAAAGACTTTATTTATTTGTCAGAGAGAGAGTGAGCACAAGCAGGAGGAGCATCAGGCAGGAGAGGGAGAAAGCAGGCTCCCCACGGAGCAGGGAGCCCAAGGCAGGGCTCCATCCCTGGATCCTGGGATCATGACCTGAGTGGAAGGCAGACACTTAACCAAAGGAGCCACCCAGGTGTCTAGCCGCCCCCCCCCACACACATTTTTGTTTTTTTTTTTTGGTTTTGTTTTGTTTTTAGTCTAACTCCTACCTAAGTCAGTCCAACGTATTCATTGGTTTGTGTTTCCTATGTCTCTTAAAAAGTTCTCTTTGTTTTAAAATAACTTGAGGCTCAGAAGTTGCAAAGACACCACAGAGTGTCTAAAGGCTGTGTGTTTAAATTTGCAGATTCCATCCACATCCCTCTTTCTCCTTGCATATCATTATAAAGAAGTCAGGTGGTCTGGCTGTAGGGTTTCTAAGAAGTGCTGCCTGCATCCTTGTGGAGTCCTTTAGTATACCCTTGTCCTCTGAAGTCCCAGTAAAAAGTAGTCAAACATTCTCATACTTTGATCCCAGGTTAAATTTTTTGGCAAGACTATTTCATAGATGTTCATGTGTAATTCCATCAGGAAGTAACACCAACTCCATTCTGTGATATTAGTGCCCATTAATAAAACTGCATAGAGGGGCACCTGGGTGGCTCAGTGGGTTAGGCTGCTGCCTTCGGCTCAGGTCATGATCCCAGGGTCCTGGGATTGAGCCCCACATCGGGATCTCTGCTCAGCAGGGAGCCTGCTTCCCCCCTACCCCCCTGCCTGCCTCTCTGCCTCCTTGTGATCTCTGTCAAATAAATAAATAAAATCTTTAAAAAAAAACTATAGATCAATTCATTCATGATAGCAATGTCTTAGAAGAACATTTCCTTTTTTAAAAAATATTTTATTTATTTATTTGACAGAGATCACAAGGAGGCAGAGAGGCAGGCAGAGAGAGAGAGGAGGAAGCAGGCTCCCCGCAGAGCAAAGAGCCGGATGTGGGGCTCTATCCCAGGACCCTGAGATCACGACCTGAGCCGAAGACAGAGGCTTTAACCCACTGAGCCACCCAGGTGCCCCCATTCATGATAGCAATGTCCTAATCCTATCATTTCTTCTTAATTTACTAGCAGGAATATATTTTTTAAATATTTTATTTATTTATTAGAGAGAGACAGTGAGAGAAAGCATGAGCAAGGAGAAGGTCAGAGAGAGAAGCAGACTCCCCGTGGAGCTGGGAGCCCGATGCGGGACTCGATCCCGGGACTCCAGGATCATGACCTGAGCCGAAGGCAGTCGTCCAACCAACTGAGCCACCCAGGCGTCCCAGGAATATATTTTTTAAAAGATTTTATTTATTTATTTGAGAGAGAGAAAGCGTACGCGTGCGCACAAGCAGTGGGAGAGGAAGAAGCAGAGTCCCCTCTGGGCAGAGACCCCATCAATCCTGGGACTAGGATCATGACCTGAGCTGAAGGCAGAGGCTTAACCCACTGAACCACCCAGGTGCCCAAGGAATACTTTCATAATGAGAAACTCCTCTCATTCACTATTTGATTACTCTGTTGTAAATTTTATAAAGACAAGATGAATCCATAAATTTGTTAAAAAAAAAAAACGAAACAAAACCAAATTCCTTTCTCAGCATTCTCCGAAAGTGAACAAAGAATTTAAAAAATATATCATTATGAATTATGGGTTTTGGGAGCTCTTGGGTGGCTCAGTTGGTTGAGCATCGTAGCTCAGGTCTTGATCTCAGGATTGTGAGTTCAAACCCCATGTTGGGCTTCACATGGGCATGGAGATTACTTTAAAAAAAAAGAGTTATGGATTTAAATGGTTGGAGATTTTCAATTCATTTGAATTATTCCTATTGATACTCAAATCCTTTTTTTCTTTTTTGCTAAGAGAATTTCTTCAGCTAGGCTCCAAAATTTTTTGAGAAGATGCTCAAATGTTAGCAGTCTTTTTGCTTTTTGATACATTTGCTTGTACATTTCCTGCTTAGGCATGAAACCAGTCCTTTCTCCAAAAAGCCTGGTTCCTTTAGTAGGAATTGGTATTTAAAAACCACAGAACGGATGCTAGAATTGCTCATTGCTACTGCACTGGTCATTGTTTCTACGACTTTTCAGTGGACAGCATGAGGAAACATGTACTTTTTAAAGCAAAATGCATTATGAACTCACGCTAGTCCTTCTGATTCAAATCTAGGCATACAGGGTTCTGAATAATTGCCCGTACCAACCTCACATCCATCACTCCTATCTGAAATTCTTGGTTCCCAGTAGTACTGACCTAACACACACATCTGCATAATCTCACATTACATACATTAAAAAGTCTCAGACTAACAATGCTAACTCACTCTACTATCCAGAATAAAACCACCACATTTCACATATTCTGTTTCAATATATATTGGCATCCTGTACAACCCCTTCTTAAATGATAGTACCTTATGCACGTTTCACCATCTTGCTTGATGGAGAGCACGCCGTCGCAATATATAGAGATAGTCCTCGTTCCTTCGTGGGGTCCAATCAGGAGAGAGGATGCACACAATAATTTGAATAGAGTTTAATATAAAGAATCACTAGCAATAACTGGGGATTGGTGTGAGGGATTGGCCAGTAAAAAGAGAATGCAAGAATAGTAAGAAAGGAGTAACCACAGCTCCCCAACCAGGGCTATGACTGTGCCCCAGGATAAGATCTAGACTGTTGGAGGAGGCCGCCTTTGGCTCACTGGATGGCAGAGAAGTCAGATGTCGCAATGACGGGACTTGCTGGAAATCTAATATACAGGGTGCTGGGGAAAGGTTTTGTTTTGTTTTCCCCACACAAGGGATCTCACTAGAGGTACTTTTCTACAAAACCACTCAAGGGGGTTGTAAGGAGAAGCTGGTGGATACTGGTTACCTTGGCCAGTGTGCCCAGTAAGGGCTGGGCGCTGCAGAGGCCCTGGGAGCTGCAGGAGCCAGAAGCCGAAGAGCTCTTCCTCCTGCAGTGTCTCTCCGGCACCCTCTACTGACAAAGTTTAGCATCACGCCAGAGAGCGCACAAAAAATAGAGGGCTCAGATCCATTTTCAGGGATCGGGTAATGAAGTTTGAATTTAGAGCTGAGATAGAATGCACTGATAATTGGCACAATATACAATTTTATTCACTCAGTCCCCTATTTATGGATATTGTATTTCCAGTCTTGCTATTACCAATATTTAGCAGGATTCTGACCAAATTAACTGTCACTTGTTCGCACACTTAACCTTTGTAAAAGTCCAGTGCGGTCTTCATTTTTAAATGGCTTATGATCCAGTAGAAAAGGTGAAATTATGCAAATACATGTAATGCAAAGTAGAATTTCCTGGGTATCCTCTCAGTTCTACCTAAATTCTGAGGCTTGCGGCAAGCAGGAAGGACTTAAAGAAGGTATCAACAATTCAAATAAACCCTCAAGACAGTGTAGGGGAAGTCCGTTTCAAGAAGATAGAATGCGAGCTGAGGGGTCCGTTTGGGGAGACTGCTGTGTTCAGAAACAGCCTAGATTTGCTGCAGCTAGAGTAGATGGGCTCAAAGCGTGGTTCCTGGACCAGCAATAGGACCACCATCTAAATTTTAAATC